CAGAGACCAGCATGAGCAGGTACACACACGACAGAGACCAGCATGAGCACGTACACACACGACAGAGACCAGCATGAGCACGTACACACACGACAGAGACCAGCATGAGCATGTACACACACGACAGAGACACCGATTAGGAGACGACCCGGGCCCACAGGTGAGCAGAACATCCCAAATCCGGCACAAGCATCTCCAGGCCTCAGGAGCCGGCAAATTTGATGGATTTTGCTCGTTATGGACTAGCCCTCACAAGCATTGCTGGAATTACCAATAACGTGATCATTTAATGACATTCCGATCTTAAACCAACGTCCCGGCAATGTATGTGTGCTATCTAATAAGAGAACTGAAGTAATGCAAAAGTTACTTTTCTTAGTAAGTAATTACTTTTATATGCTGTAATTCATAAAGTAAATGAGTTACTTTTGAAGAAAGTAACTAGTAACTGTAACTAAGTACTAATTTTCAGTATTAGCACAAAATTGTTCGCTATACGTTGGCTTTGCTACATGTATGCTAGACTGAAACTTATTTACTGAGGGACTGATATCGTTCTTCACATTTGTTATTCTGTTAGCTAACAAATACTTTTAGATGTTAAGAATATGGTTCTGTTTGTCCTAACAAAATATTTCTAAGAGTAAATGTTCATTCTTAGGTATTTACCTCTTACTTACTCTTTTGTCATCAAATAAAATAATGAACACTCATGTTATTGTGGGAAGATACATCTACAGCAGGGTTTCCCCAGTTCCGGTCCTGGAAGACTAGTCTGCGACACGGTTTGCAGATTCCCTGCTCAAACACACCTACTAACCCTGGCAATTGGTTGGTGAGCTGAATAAGGTGTTTCAGCAGGGAAATCTGCAAACTGTGACACAGACTGGCCCTCCAGGACCGGAACTGGGGAACCCTGGTCTACATCCTTATCTTTGCCATGGGTTTAGTTTAAACTGAATGTAGAGTACAGCTTTAACTAACTCCTTCAGTTTTTTTTTCACTTGAATCTGACAGTTAATTCAGCCGATGGGTCAATAACAGCTCAGTAATTAATCTCCCGGATCGGAATGGAGAAGCTGTGGCCCACAAGACCCAGGGCTGGATAGAGGAGCCAAACATCTGCAGCTATGGGCGTTACTGTCCTGCTTGAAGAAGAAACGTGAGTCTTATGGGCAGTTTGGTCTCCATTAGCTCCAACATTTTACGACGATCTCTATGTTTTACTCAGCCAGTTGACCTTGAGGTTTCTGCAGCTGTACAGACCTGGGGTTCCGAAACGCGTCACCCCATACGAGTGCGTGCCGTTGGCCCAGTCGTGTCAGCAATACGAGGCATAGCACAATGGGGGGGTGTCAACAGAGGGCCCCAGGCTCTTTGTCACATTAGCACCTCTGAGTGACTTGATATGATAATTGAGTAAATGGCTTGGAGAAGCGAAGCGATGAATGAAGACAACAATAAACAGCAAAGCTACATGACCGCTAAAATGTACGAAAAAAAGAATACAAAGATTTAGACTTTGCAGGTTCCACAGTTCGCTGTTTTCCTACAGCGATAGCTCCTCAGGGATGAGATGCTGTGCGTATTTTTAATACAAACCAAAACTCAATTTTCAAATAATAGATAACTATACAGCAATTTCACGCATATGATACCGTTTTTAGCCGCAAGAGCTAACAGCACAAATGCAGCATTTGCGCCTAAGCAGCACATTCCGTGTCCAATGGCTACTTAATAAGGCCCATATTAATATTAAATTATTTATTAAGAAGCATGTGACACAGCGTGTGTCATCCTGAGCTCACAGTGAGGTAAATCCTCAGCCTTTTCATGTCTATTTATTTTAGCGGCAACCGTTCCGCCCCAAAAGGGGTGGAGGGGTTGGAGGAGATGCGATGGTAACAATCCTTCATTCCTCTGCCTCCTTCCACCGCACTGCGGCGTGTAAAATGGAGGAATCCAGCTGCAGGGACTTCAGGCCGGCAGGCTTGCATCGTTTCCGTTCGGTATTGGTTACAGCTGAGCTGAGGCAGAAATATAACAAAGAAAGAGGCAGCCCAGGTCCGGGGGCAGACATGGGTCGGCTGGTCGACCATGACAAAATAATTATGAATGCATACGGATGCATGCCTCAATTTGTGCTGGACTGTCCTCATAATGTGAGGATCGAAGATATCTATCAAGAGAAACTCAAGGAGAAGACAATAAAGCCACATGGCTCCATGGACACCTAAACCACCACCCCACCCCCCCCCCAAGATGGTACAGCCCTAGGTTTTGACATGAAAACAATCATGCAGTGCATAAAGTGGTACACTCCGCCCTGGAGACATGCCGGGGTCAGCAGGGAGAGCAGAGCTTCAGAAGGATTCCGTTACCAGGACACTGCAGAATGTCTTGAATCACAAAGAGGGCAGCGCTGAATGGGACACGTGAAGAATGGGGCGTGTGCCAGACGTGCTATGAACATCATCTACATATTTAAAACTTGGCAAAAAAAAAAAACTGTTCATGCGAATGGCGCTTTTGAGAAAGCAGGATGTGTTCAGTGAGGTGAGACGAGGCGACCGGCCATGTCGGGCGATGCTGACACCATGCCATCCCTATGCTGAGACCCTCTTACTAGAATCTTCTCTGTTGAGAATTCAAAACAAAATGGGAGAAAGTCTGTGCAAATCCTATGTGCTCTCTCCTAAAGGGCAGTATAAAGAACCCCGTCACAGAGCAAACATGCAGACACACACACACAGATGCACACACAGAAGGTCACCAGGGACACCGCCATGTTAATAGTATTTCCAAATGCTGCGGAGCTCAGGTGTCTGCTGGATCATGAGGTGATTCTAGCCTGGGGGTGGGCCTGAGGGGGGGGGGGGGGTGGCTTTGCACTGGACGAGTCTGTGAGCTCAGGACTCCTTCCAGCTGGATGAGAAGAAGTCGCATGGCGAGACCGCTTGCATATGGCCCTATCCGTTGGAAAGCATATTCCTGTCCCCCCGGCACTGCCGCGCGAACTGAGTGACCTTGGCGTGTTCTGCTAGTTGTCCTGACACACGGGGAAGCATGAAGCCCCCCCAACCACATCCCACCGCAGATATCGCACACATTCACCAACTCAAGGCAGATTTAGACGGCCACCAGGGGGCGCTATGGAGCAAAGCATCAGAACCCACCTTGGGTGGAACGTAGAACTCCAGCAGGAAGCGTTCACCCTCAGTGCGGGGCCCCGTCTTCCTCAGAAGCAGTCGGCACTTCTGCCACTGCGAGCTGCCCATGCAGTTGGTGTCGTCGGCCACCATGTAGCGTAGGGCGCCCTCCCTCTGGATCTCCAGCTGCTCAGCCTTGTGCCCCTGCGAGGCCTTGGAGAAACGCAGGCGCTGGCTCCACTTGTCCCCCGTGGCATCGCCGTTGGCCCTGCGGCCGCCGTCGGGCTCTGGCGACGAACGCCTATGCCAGATCTCCTTGACTCCGTCCACCACACAGAGGCTCATGTTCCGCAGGGAAAAGCCCTTTTTGAAGCGGGCCTTGGGATGGCCTGCTGACACGTCCTCGGAGCTGCGTGACTGGCCCAGGGCCGACACCTTGTGCGCCAGGGGCTGCGAGCGGGGACTGCGGCTACCCGGGCCACTGTCCATGCTGTCCAGGGACTCACTGGAGGCGCCGGCGTCCCGCCGCAGGTAGAAGTCCTGGCCGTAGGGCAGCGGGCAGCTCTGGAGGCCGGCAAAGGGCACGATGCTGTAGCGGGGCCCCCCCGGGGAGCCAGGCGTGCGGGGCCGGCTCAGCTCAGCTGAGAAGCACTCCAGGAAGTGCTGGGCAAAGTGCTGGGAGAAGGTCGTGTCGGCGCCCGGCGAGTCGTAGCTGGGGTTCTCGCCGACGAAGCGGCGGAACTTGTCGGCGAAGTCGGAGGCGGAGGCTCGAGCATGAAGCTCACAGAACTCCTTCCAGTCAGGTAGCGGGCAGGAGGAGAGGTCCGGGCTACTGGGGCGGGCGTCGCCATTCATGACTGCGCCATTCCTCCGAGGGGTGGGGGGCCTGCGAAGGGGCGACAAGAGAGCTGCAGTCACTGTCCTCTTTCCGGAAGGAAGTTACACGGCACTTACTTGGCATTTATGTTCTTACTTGCCATAAACGATCATTGGAAACGCACCCTGATCTGTCGCCGAGCGCACGGCGCGCCTGTGAAAGCATGTCAAATCGTCCTGCCCTGTTCTCCCGACAGGGTGAACGTCTCGTCCCGACTCGAGCTGTCCAAGCCTCTGAGGTCTCTCCCAACCGCAGAAGAGCGGCGAATTGTGCAGTTGGTGGTATGCAGAAGTTAGTACGGGCCCCCGCCCCCCATGTGGGCAACTAAGAGTGGATGTTAGAGGCACGATTCCAGGCGACGGTGTGCCGCTGTGCCACCCTGCCAACACCAGGGGCCTGGCAGTGCAGCTGAGCGCCAACAGCATGCCCTGGGATGCACCTGCTGTACACGCTCTTCAGGCTCCAGACAGACAGGCCTGGAAAGTGGGCCAAAAAGCTGGGGGAGAAAGAGGTGGAGGCCAGGACAGGAGAGAGTAGTGCTGCAATAATCCAGGCACTTAGGACGGCAGCCCATCTAGTCTAAGACACATTCAAAGCAAAAACTGCCACTTTCTTAGATATTATTAGGTAAAGAAGCTGATTCCGGCTGCCACAAGCCGACCAGTGCGACAGATCAGATATCTGGAGATCAGAGACTGTTATCAGTGCCAGTGCAGAGCTGGGCTGTGGAGGGGGGGGGCATGATTTGCATGGTTGAAGATCCTCCAATAAATATTAAAGAGGCGCGATTATACTTCACAGGGGGGGGGGACGCACAATCAGGCCGGGCGGCTGCCCATTAAGCCATAAGTTAATGACAAGCGTGAGACTCCTTTGCTTTGATCCTGAACAGAGAGAGATTCACAGTTAATTGATATTTAACGGCCGCCCCGGACCACAGAGTACAACAGATGTGAAACCAACAATGTTAGATAGACAATGTATCACGGCAACCTGGAGACTCCGCTGGAATGGCAAGCGGAGAACGCAGCGTGAAGTTCCCATGAAAAGTCAGAAACTTTAGTAAAGTCCCTGAGGAATTAAGCACAGCCTTCGCAGCTACAGTGTGTATAAGGCTCCATAAACTGCCCGATTCCATCCATGCCGACTGACTCCTGCTCTCTTGCCTTTTGGGTATTTTTTTACGATCTTTCAACTGCTCAAAAGTTTTTAAAGCACTGATATTTCATCACTCGATAGTATGACACTTTCAGTCACACTTGTACGGTGAGAATGCTACACTTTTAGCACCTTATGAAATTCACCATATTAGTTGTCTCATGTTCTTTGCACTCTCTGCTGTAAATATACACCGTGACTTTGCACCTTAAAATACAGTATTAAGAACGTCCCCACATGCAGCTGTACTTCATTTCTGACGCATCACATTCGTAAAGAAATGGAGATTGAACTGGAAATTTGGGGGGGGGGTATGAACCGGCAGGTGAGGGGGCCAGCAGAAAAGCCTGGAGCTTTTAGCCTGCCTAGAATCACTGTTCAGTGAAACTGACTGGACCCCCATCTCCACAAATATCCATGTACAGTATATAAAAGGTACACAGACGGCAAATTTGTAAGCATCCACACAGGCGTCTCCACGACCCCCCCAGGAGTCACATCATCGCACCCTATAGTCTCTCGGGACGATTAAACACCCCAAAAAGACCCAGGATACTATATGAACATCTGCACATTTTAAAATTCATTATACAGCATTTTATGAAAAGAAAACTGGCTCTAGTGATATTTATTGTTGCCTCCAGCATGGAGCTTTCAAAGGTTCAGATTTCAATGAGAAGCAGAGAATGTGTCAGACTCTGCTTCCGAACACAGCTTCAGCTAAACAGAGGGGCTATGCAGCTCCTCCTTACCCTGTTTAACAGAAATAAACCGCCACAGTACATGCTATCAGATTTTAAACGCAGATATTAAATAGCACAATATAAACCTTTACTGGATAAAATAAAACTTTTATGACCTTTTCCACGCTCTCTCTTTCACAGCGTCGTACTGCAGCTGGACGGATTTAGTCTGTTACATCTTCATTTTTAATACAGATTACATTAATGATTAATCACAACTCAATCACTACTGTTCTATAGAAGGAGAGCAAACCTTTTCAACTATATTCATATTTTTATATTAAGATTATAGGGAAATATCATTAAAAATGGCGTTAAAATTACAATATCTTTTGCCCGTACATGGGAACCTCTTCAGTTCTGTGATGTCCTACCCATTTACCATCACTCTGTTATTTATAGTTCATGTATATATTGCTGAAATGAATGTCTCCCCTCAGAGAACGCCCTCCAGGCAGACATCAGGGCTATGAAACTCGGTGCTGTGAGTCCACTCCATGTCTAAGCGTCCTCTGGAGACACTGGATGACGCTGCCATATTCGAAATCAGGCCCCTGTGCCAGAAACTGAAATGTGAAAAATGGAATGAAGGCCATTTGGTGCAGATTCCCACCTACTCCCTAGATGAGAACCAGTAAAAGATCTCAGTTTTGGGTACAAAATTACAATGGCCATCCCAGGAGAGCCAGGAGAATTGCCCTCCAGGTCCAGTGGCCTCCTGCAGGCACCGGTGGAAACATTTTTAGATAATTGGTGCAATTCAGCCACAGTGAGAAGAAGCTCGAGGGGGAGGAGCCAGCAGCCCTTGTCCGGCACTAACTCACAGAACTCAGCATCTTTGCTGACATCCTGGACTCTTCTGACTTCACCGCTACGCAAAAAATGCCAGTGTGTCCTTGGCCGCGGTGACAGGAGCGTAGGAGCGTGGTTTCAACGCCTAGCGCTCTCTGCGGCGGAGTGGGCCGGAGGCGGGGGTGACACAGTGCGAGCGCAACACGTCAAAACACTGGTTACCGACGCGAAGCCAATTAGTCTAGATCAGGGTGTGACTGGTCTGGTGAGAGAATGTATCCCAGCAACTGAAGCTTTCCTGAAATCCAGAGGAAGTTTTTAGGAAACAGTTTTTCTACAGCATGCATATTTTAGGGAAATGGCCATTTCTGCTATATTACTGGGGAAAAATAGAAAGCTTCACAAATATCATTAGGATAAACTATAATAAATTATGCATTGTAAGCATTCCCATTGCAGGAAAGGAAAAGCTTCTGAGCAATGTTGGCCATTTCAAGTCCAGAAGCTACAAATCCAGACCGAGGTTTTGTTTCTACCAACCACTTGAGTACTCTGAGACTGTGACCCTTTATGCTCAGCTGGTTGGCAGAAACTAAATCTTGGTCTGGATTTGTAGCTCCTGGGCCTGAAATATCCAAATGACTCTGAGACAGAAGCACAGAATTGTGGTAATGTTGGAAAATGAGGGTGAGTGAGTTTAAGAGGATAAGACAGAGCACCATCCATTTTGGGGACTTCTTGAGGGCAAAGACAATGGCCTTACAGTAATAATTAAGTCATCAAATCCTTGTAAGTCACTCTGTAATGAACATACCACGAGTGACGGACTGCAGTGTGAATAATTATACAAGATCGAAAGACTTTGCCTCTTTCCATGCTGAATTTGTTTCTTGCACCTTGAACTTGAGGCCAGTAATATGCTTTGCAAAGCATGGATGTGTTTATTTGTGCAGTTAATTATTTTCTGATATGGATGCTGGTTTTTTTGCATTCATTAATATATGTAAATTACCGCACATTGTTTTTTGAACTTAAACACTAATACACATCAGCTGATATCTTAGCCCTTCCAGTTCAAAATAAGTCCAACAGAAGAGTAAGAAATCAAGAGCATACCGTGGTGTGATTTAATCTCACTGCGTTTTGCTCTCATTTAGTTTGTAGACTAAACGGTTTCAGATCCATTCAGTTCTGAAGTGACTTCCCCCTGCTCAGAAACTCTATGAATCATACTGACGCAGGGCTCTTAAGTGTCACGCACTGATCATGAGACACACGTATTTCAGCCAGTTACGACGCTCACACGCCACACCTCGTGTTTCTCAGGCTGAGAAGTAAAGGGGTAACGTCCACTAAGGTGTCCCGTTATATAGAATTAATGGACGATGCACAGGTGTATGGAGCGGAGTTTTCCACCGAGTTCGTACAGGTAACTGTCCCGAGTTATACCACCTACCGGGCAATCAAAAAATAGCATTTGTTGTTTCCGGGTAAATTCCAAAATAAGTTAAATGTGATCCCACTGCAAGTACGTTATTACGTGGATGCACACACAGGTGGAGTGCAGAAAAGGTGGAAGTTAGCAAGATCCGACGACTGCGGTAGGCAGGGCTCACACATTTCGCCCCAATGTAATCTCACCCCAAACTTTTGATGAAACTTGAGAGGCTTGCTGACCTGATACTAACAATGTATCAGATTGCTATTACATAAAGTCGTGTGGGACAAACTTTCATTACAGACATAGAATTTCAACGAGACTCAGTGTGTTGTGGCAAAAATCGCAATTCCAAAGAAACCCGATCTATCATGACTGGCTTATTTGGCTGATTTGGTCTGAAGTAACATCAGTTAGATATTAAAATAATTCCTCCATGACATGACAGAACAACAGTGGCTAGAGAAGGCGCTGCTGTCTGTTAGAGGGCTCTGGAGGTGTTCCGTAAGGACCCTGGAGTACCCCATCCCTGCCAATAGTCTGTGCAGCAGTGGAAACTAAAGCCCAATTTCAGGACTGTATCAGGAAGTGGTCTCTGAAGCCGCAACATTATTTATAGGGATACTGATTATAGCGATACTCATTTTGAGGAAGCATTTTTTTCAGAACAAACTTATGTGTGGACTAAGTTAGATGCCGGTGACACATTGGGACACATTGATGAGCCCTAACTATGGTCATGGCCTCCCAGGCACTGCTGCTTTCCGATCCGACTCTTTCTGGCCTTGACTTCTTCTTTCGGCCAATTAGCTGGCCAACACGAAACCTTCCTCCGCCCATGTTTTCAGTTCCTTAAGGGTGAACCCGCACCAGGTGATCCGTACCATGCCCGAGCACATCTGACCCCCAAAGTCTAGTTCATTTGACCAGCGCGATCGCTCCGTACCGGGCCCGGACACGGTTCAGTTGGACTCGGTATGCATATATTGTGATCGCTAATTGAGCCCGAGCACAGAACACAGACATGACATCAATGATGGGACTGGCTTTCGCTCGTGCATATTTACAACATAATGACCTGGAAGGAATGAATTGGGGTGGCTGTAAAATCAGGTGGCGGCACACATTTAACAAACATTGTGGCAAAGGGATCACTTTGGCCCGCGGCAAAGGTGCAGTGTTTGCTGTAAATTTGGGCTGATGACAGT